AGGGAAGGGAAGGGAAGGGAAGGGAAGGGAAGGGAAGGGAAGGGAAGGGAAGGGAGTGGAACTTGGTCTCAGGGCTGTGAGGTAAACATAGTCTGAAAGAGTTCAGGGAGAAAAAGTTATATGGCCATGATTTAGAGATGTTTCTGTGAAAGTAGTTTGGGATTCATCAAGGCTATCTGTATTTATATGTGGAGCTCCACAGTCTATGTAGAAATAGACCTGATTGTCTGACCTATTAGCAAACTATTCATTTAAAATTCCACAGGCAAATCAAATCTTGCCTAACAGAACTGAGGGGAAATCTCATGTCATAGAGTATTATTTGATATAAAGATCATTACTCTAAAATGCAACTACCTATAAGAGTTCCAGCCTCTGGCTTCCTCTCGTTCATTCCTGCCATAGACATTTACTAATAGGGGCTGCTGAAGAAGTGCTGGGATGCAGAGGTGAGTGACATTTGTCTCTGCTCTGGAGGAGCTCCTGGCCTAGTGGGAGAGTCATCCACTAAACAGATAAAACCATTATAAGAATAGATGCCACTAACTGAGCCAGTCTATGCAAAGCACTTTGCACTGCCTCTCTCAATCCTTGTTCTTCATTTCACGGAAAAGAAAACTGAGGCCCAGGTTAGGAAGCCAGAAGTGGTGAGGTTAGTAGGTTAGTATGCACAACTGGGTCTCTTATGTCTACAGGCTAGTGCTCTTTCTCACTAGATTTCATACTTCTGGAGAGCAGGGGGAGGGTGTCTTCATCTCCATTTCCCAGTGCCTGGCCACTGGGCTGGCACAAAACAGGGGTCCAACTTGCCAAACTGTCACTGAATTTCATGGGCACCCTGGTGCCTCCACTGGCACTAATGGCACTAACTTCATTTGTGCATAAAGTGCTAGGATCAAGGTGTGGGCCAAGACTATAGAAGGGCAGAGGGCTAAAGCACTAAGTTGGCCACAGGACCCAGAAGTCCTGTTTATTGGTTACCAATTACTTCCCAGGAATCTTAGGGAGAAAAAACCATATTGACTTGTGCCACCCGTTTATGCATTTGTTGGTTGATTCTTGTATGTGCCCTGACCAGGGGACTCAAACCTGCAACCTTGGTGTATTCAGGACAATGTTCTGATCAACTGAGCTACCAGGCCAGGACCTTCCCAAGGAATCTTAATTGTTAGTATCTTTTCCACTTTTCCTGCTTTCCACATCCATTTACACTGGAGCTCCCCACAGGCCCAAAGGATGTGCTTCTAGTCTCTCTACACCATCCATCCGTGCACCTGCCACCAGCTCTGATCACACCAGTCCCCTGCTTAGCAACTTCTAACAGCTCCCCATTGCCTACTGGATGGAATCCAATCTTCTTGCATGATGCCCAAGGCTCTTCCTGATCAGAGCTTGTCCAAATTTTCTTATCACTTACTAATATTGGTTTTAGAAGGGCAGCCCCCCTGTGTACAATAAATCTCTTATAGAGGAAAGGGTTTGGCTTCAGAAAACCTGGGTCTGCTGCTGGTACTGTGACTTCAGGAAGGCTTAGCAGGCTGGGACCCCCTTGAGGGCAAGGGTGGTGTCTTATTCTTTCTGTATTCTACCACCAAGCACAGGCCTGGCATTTGGAAGACTCTGGTGAGTAGTGAGTGCTCACTCAGTTTAGAAATAAAGTCTGGGAGCCAGGCACAGGGCTAGGTGCTGGGATACAGCGGAGGTAAACAGGACATGGGCTCCATCTTCACAGAGCTTGCAGCCTAGCATGGCGTTACATCAATCTGACCCACTTTTATTGCATGTTATGTGCCAGGTGTCTATATGAAGGAATGAGGTCTGGTCCCCTTTCTGCTGATTTCTTACTCTCTGCGATTTTTGCAAGATAAAGTGAAGTGAAAGAACTCTGTAACTGTAAGAAGCCTATACATTGTGAGGGTCATTCCTATCAGTCTTTGCCTTAAATTTACCTTTTCCATGTTTTAATAATCCCACTTTCTCTGGTATTTTGGAAACTGGTGGAGTAAGTTGGCCATGTCAGTCGCGAATTTTATTATTTTTAATATTTTTTTTATTGATTTCAGAGAGAGAGGAAGGGGGAGGGAGAGAAAGATAGAAACATCAATGATGAGTCATTGATCAGCTGCCTCCTGCACATACGCTGCTGGGGATCCAGCCTGCAACCCCAGCATGTGCCCTCACCAGGAAACGATCCTGGATCTCCTGGATCACAGATCGATGCTCAACTCCTGAGCCACACCAGCCGGGCTCAGTCATGAATTTTAAAGATCTGGTTCATGCCTCCTCTCCATCTCTACCTTTTCAGTCTAAGAGGCACCACCTGTAAGCCATCCTTTGATACATGTTGGTGCCTCTGCTAGATGACTCTCCTCACCCTTCAGGCCTTGCTTAAAGGTCACCTACCCTCAGAGGCTCTCCGTGAACCTCCCCTTTCTCATTGTCTATCATGTACACTATTTGCTTCTATTAGCACTCATTTATTAAACATGTATTCCCTGTGACAGGCACTGTTCTAGGGGTGGGGGATAAATCAGTGAAGAAACAGACACCCCTGCACTCATGGAGCTCACATTCTAGTGACAGTCATTAAATAACAACATGGAAAACATATAGTATGCTTCTGTTAAATGCTAAAGAGGAAAACAGGAAAGGGATAGGAAGTGTATGTTCCAACTGCTTATTTGTTTACTTGCTGTTTCTCCCACTAAACTGTAAGCTCCACATAGCACGTCTATTTTATTCACAAACGCAAACAATGCTCAGCACAGTGCCTGATACGCAGTGGGCATCTGATAAATAGGTGTTGCTCAAAGAGCAAAGGGACGCCTCTCCATCGCTCTGGCCTTGCTTCCAGGAGGCGGAAAGGAAACTCCCGAGGAAAAGGAGGAAAGGAACTCACTCTCGGCGCTGGGGAAGAGGTGTACAGTACGAGCCGTGGCGCTGGTGTGGAGGGAAGGGCCACTCTCAGGCTTAGGACAGGGACGCGGTAAAGTGCCCGCAGCTGAGAGAAGTGGGTGGCGAGGAAAGGAAACTTACAGCGCACCCACTGAGCGCCGGCGCCCTGCACAGGTACGCTGGCGTAGGCACTTCTAGCCCTGTTTCTACAGCAGGGGACTCTGGGGCTCAGAGGAAAGCGCCTTGCCCAAGCTACAACTGCCCATTAGAGGCGCAGGCTCCTCAGAGTTCAGGTTTGAAGTCCAGCTGTTCTCCTAATCCCGTCCCGGTCCCAGTCGCCACCACTCACCTACAGCGCTTCAGTTCCCATGAGGACCCTTCCTGTTCCCTCCCTCCCCCGAGGGTGGGGCAAGACAAGGAAGCCCTGACTTTGATTGGTTCGAGTGGCTGCCACTCACAAAACGAGCTTTGCCGCCCAGCCCCTTTTGTTCCCAGCAGGCCTCGCGCACAGGAAGATGGCGGCGTCCAGGTGGAGGGCTTGAGGAGACGAAGTCGGTATGGCGTTGGCGTTGGGGCCGGCAGGGCGAGCGCTGGCTAGCCCCGGACGACTCGGCCTTGGGGGCTGTGGGGCCCCAAGACGCGGGGCGTATGAGTGGGGCGTCCGCTCCACGCGTAAGCCCGAGCCGCCTCCCCTTGACCGGGTGTACGAAATCCCTGGAGTGGAGCCCATCACCTATGCTGGGAAGATGCACTTCGTGCCTGGACTGGCGCGGCCGGTCTTCCCGCCCTGGGATCCCGGTTGGAAGCATCCGAAATCCCGCCGATTGACCCCGATTCACGAGCACCCGCTGTACAAGGACCAGACCTGCCACACCTTCCACGCGGGCTGCCGCCTCCTCGAGGGTGAGGCCCCAGGACGGGTGGGAGGGGACCTTGTTCCTCTTCCCAGTACTGACGCCAACCCTCTGTGGCTTTGGGCAAGACCTTGAAACTCCGAGGGTCTCGGTTGCTTCGTCTGCGAAACGGGGCCAGTAGTGATTCCTATTTCTTGACAGTTGTTTGGATTAAGTGAGTTGTAAAGAGTTGTCTACCCTAAAGCTCATGATCTCATTACCCCAGTCCGCTTCTGTAGCTCTGTATCTCTCAGAGTTTTGTTAAAGACTTTACAGAACATTTCCAAGTTTAAGGAGCAATGGCAGTGTCAGTACTAAAACTCAGGTTACCCAACTCCCACTCCAGGGTTTTTTATGCTCCACCACAAAACCCAGAAGTTCCATTTCTAAATGTTTGTATGGGTTTAATCCTAATAAATGAGGTACATTTGGTAGATATGGGCTTTTCCCGTCAGGAACTGGGTGTGGGTTAGTAGAAGAGATATAGGTTTTGAAAGGTTGGCATTCATCTAGGGTCTGTCTGAATGCTGCAGGCAACAGATAGACCCTTATGATCTCAGCCTTCTTAGCCACTGTTTTAATTCCCCTGGTGCCAGGCACTATTTCAGTGGTTAACTGAAGTTGAGTTGAAATTTGGCTGTTCTAGCTTCTGTTCCTTATTTTATTTCTGACCTCTCAGATGGCTCTCTCTGCGGCCTTTTCCCCAAGATGCTACCAAGCAGGCTTAAGTATTTCATTCTGAATTGTCTTGTGTGTGTGTGTGTGTGTGTGTGTGTGTGACTACCCCAAAGGTGTAAAGCAGGCCCTCTGGCTTACCAAGGCCAAGTTAATTGAAGGCCTTCCTGAGAAAGTGCTTAGCCTTCTTGATGACCCAAGGAACCACATAGAGAACCAAGATGAACGTGTTCTGAATGTGATCTCTCACGCCCGTCTCTGGCACTCCACTGAAGATATCCCCAAGAGACAGACATATTGGTAAGTTTTCCCCAGGTCAGTAGATTTCCAGTTGATGGCTTTTGGAGTCAACATGTTGTTTTATGTCTCCAAATGTTTCTTCTTTTTTCCAAGCCCAGTCATTGTGGACAGTCTGATACAGCTGTGTAAATCCCAGATTTTAAAGCATCCTGCTCTGGCCAGGCGGATTTGTGCCAAAAACTACAGGTTATCCACCACCTGGAACCGAGGTTGGTCATCTTGTATACCAGAAAGCCTTAGTCAGTTTTTTATCTTTCTACTCTTAGCCCTACCACCAGCTCACATTCCCAGCCCCCCACATCCCTATATGTACCCTCACTTCCATCCTTCATGGTCCAGTTTTGTAGGCTTAGGCACGTCCTCAACATTATTAGCCATAACTGGCTTTTTTGGTTTTTAATCACTTCTTTCCAAGACTGTTAATTCAGCCATATCTATTGAGCACCTGCAAGCGCATAAGTGTTGACGACACAAAGAAGTAATAAAGCACACACAGTGTCTGCCCTCACAAAGCTTATATTCTGTTGCAAGAGCCTTTTTACCCCATGCATGCTTTTCTCCTTTTCCCAATCCATTTTCCACATAGCTGCTGGAATGATCTTTCTAAAGTGCATGTCTCCTTATGTCCCTCTTGTTTCAAATCCTTCACTTAAACCATTTATCATGCTGCCCAAGGCCCTCTGTGATTTGGCCACCACCTAGTCTTTCTAGTCTTGTGTCCTGCTCTACTGTCCCACCACCCCCCTATGCCCAAATTTACACTTTAGCCGCTTGCAGGGTTTTGGCATCAAGCTTTTACACCTTTGCACGTGCTCTGCATTTTGTCTGGAATGCTCTTTTCTGCTTTCCTCATTTGACTAAATTCTTACCTGCAAGACTCAACTCAGGCCCCCTTCCTATGTGAATCCACAGGTTAGCTATTCCTCCTCTGTGCTCCTTATGCCCAGTATCTTTTCTGTTTGCTCCTCTACACTGTGAACTTCTGTGCACAGTGTCTTAACAGTTCACGGTACATGATAGGTATTGACTGAAGGGACAGGTGAATGAATACCAAATTTCAGGTGTTTCAGGCAGGGATGTTCAGAGTACACAGGAGTTCTGATGAGTGGAAACCTGAAGCAGGGAGACCAGCAATGGAATAATTTGGGATTTTCAGGGCATCTGCTTGGTCAGGCTTCTCCAGCTTGCCCCTTTGAGTATGGACTTCTTGGCAAGGAGTCAGCTTTGCAGAGGTAATGGCACCACTAAGGAAATTAGTGAACCTCATTAATAGAGGAGCACTTGTTGGCCCATCATCAAGTATTACCTCTAATTAAACTGCCCCATTTGGAGCTGTCACTGGAGGAGGGATGTGGAGGGAATTGAATTGGAAACCACACTAGAGTGGTCTGTGGGGAAAATCTAAAACCCAAGGTTAGGAGAGGTCCAGGCACATTTATCTTCTTTACAGATTAAATGTGAGGAAACAGGAAATACTTTAGAAAACTATTCTTGAGGTATGGGTGTGATTTATTTTAACAAACAGATCAGAGTTTATCTATCCACAGATGTAGTATCCCTTTTTTACATGTAGTAAGGGAGGCCACATGCTTATTAAATGACAGGTTTTCTGTTTGTTTGTTTTTGTTAATCCACACCTGTTCACCTGAGGATATTTTTTCCATTGATTTTTTTTTTTTTTTTTTTTTTTTGAGT